CGGCTCGGTTCGGCTCGGCTCTACCTCGGGCTGAGCGCGGATTGGCCCTTGTCCAGTGAGCCCTGCGCGCGGGCGCGCGGGGAGAGATGCGGGCGGGCTGAAGAGGGCGTGGCATGGCAGCAAGTCAGGCGGAGAAGAAGGGGACTCGAGGCGGCGCTGTGACTTTCCCCGCAGCGCGCACCTGCCGCGCCCTGCCCAGTGGGCTGGAACTGCCGCGCCGCCGACCGCTTTTAGCGGATTGTGGACTGGAGGGCGGTGGCTGTGCGGCGGGAATTTCCCTTGGCCGGCGGGGAAACCTGGGGTCCCGCCTCGGGCTTGGTTCCTTTCCTCAGTGCCGGGCTCTGGATGCAGGAGGATTTGGGGGCCCCACCCATTTGGGGTGCCAGGGGCAGCAGCCACCTCCCGGCCGAGTACTGCTCCCAGCCCTCCTGGTTCCCCAAACCGCTGCTCCCTGTAGGAGGTATATGGTTCCACACATCTTGGGGTGCTGGTCGCGCAGTACATCACATTCTGCCCCACACCCCCTTCTCGGTTCCTTACTTTCCTCGAGCCTTAGAAGTGTTTCTTCTCCCAGCGGGGTAACAGCAGAGGAGAGAGGAGATGCACGGTTCCCTGACCTGGTAGCCCGAGAGATCAGGCCACCCAGGCCTGGCTGTCACCCCAGGGATGTCCCCCTGACCCTGCCAGAGAACCAAAGGGGAACCTAGGGTTCATAAGAATGAAAATTTCAAAGCCCTTTGGTCGGCCGGCTAGGTTTGCAGCCCCCTTCTGTTCTGCTGCTTGGTATTTCCAAGCTGTAGGATTCTCAGAGACAGTGACAAATGATTCCTATCAATTTCCATGAGATGATCACCTCTTTTCAGGTTACTAGCATACATTCATTTGCAGCCTCTTGTGCCTTCACCGGAAGGATATTTGAAGGAATACTTAAAACAACCAAGATGGGCCTGAGCTGGCCTGTAATCTCAGCACTCTGAGAGGCTGATGCAGGAAGGTATCAAATTCAAACCCAGCCTGGGCAATTTAGCACCTAGTTAGGCCTTTTCCCAAAATTTAAAGTAATACATGAAGGGCTGGGGATATAGCACTGTGGGAAATGCCCTGAGTTCAATATCCAGTAGTGCATTAAAAAGAAAAAGTGTGTTAGATGTAGTTGTATCTACATGGAGAACCCCCAGACTGTTGAATAAAAGAACAGTTTGCAAAATATATGTAAGGTTGCCAATTTGTGTATTGTTTATGGATACAGGCAAATTTCTTAAAGGTCACCATGGGATGAGTGCATATTAAATTCATGACAGGCCAACACAAAGAAGGAAGTAGGGGCCAGCTGGAGTTCAGTGTAAAATGCTCGTGGGCACTGATCCCCAGTACCAGGGAGAGAGAAAAAAAAAAAGAGGAAATAGAGAAGGGGAAAGGAGCCTGAGGAACATCATGAAGTTGTTTGTTTCATTTACTTATAAAGGGAAGTGAAGCAAATGGCAAAATGTTTATTTTAAATGGTAGATGCCTAGCTTCTGTATTTTTCTATTTTCTCCAAAAACATATGTATTAGGGCTGATGGAGAGTGTTTAGAACTCTAAGCTATGGGTCAGCAAACTTTTTCTTTTTTGAGATAGGGTCTCACCATGTAGTTTAGGCAGGTCTTGAACTCATTATGCAGCCCAGGCTGGTCTTGAACTTGCTGTGATCCTCTTGCCTCAGCCTCCCAAGTACTGGACATGTGCTACCATGTCTGGCTAGCAAACATTTTCTGTAAACGACCAGATTATAAATTTTTTGGTTTTGTTTTTGAGACAGCATCCTGCTATGTACTCCAGGCTGACTTTGAATTCACTATGTAGTTCAGGCTGACCTCAGACCCACAGAGATCCTGCTTCAGCCTCCTAAGTGCTGTACCCAGCAAGTCAGGTAAATATTTGAGGCCCTGTGGGTCACATGCTCTCCATGGTAACAACTCAACTCTGCCTGAGGGGCAGAGGCCAGCTGAGACCACCAGGCTTATGCAAAGGCAACATGGTGTGGAATTTATTGTGCGTGGGTACAGGCAGACTGGAGAGGGAAAGAGCCCCTGTAGGGAACAGATGGAAGTGTGTCCCTTTTATAGGGATAGAAAGCAGACAAGGGACATTAGGTGGGAAGATGTTAATAAACATCTGTGGTTGATGGTCTCTGGCTGTCTTGCCCTTCAGTGGGCAAAGTCCTTGAAGCATCTGGTGTAAATTGTGTGCTCCCTCCAGATGTCCCCAGATGTCCTGGAACCTGCAGTTTCTTGTCCTGTCCTATTTGCTTTTTTTTTTTTTTTTAATTTTATTTATTTATTTATTTGTGTGTGTGTGTGTGTGTGTGTGTGTGTGTGGCCAGCTCAGCCCACCAGGGGGCGGGGCTGGCTGGCATGTGGTGCTGGGGGATTGAACCGCGGTCCCTGTGCTTTGCTAAGCTTGTTCCAAGTAGGTGCTTTAGACCACTGAGCCATCTCACCAGCCCCCTGTCCTATTTGCTTTACGACATTGTGATGACAGCCTTAACATTGAGTTCCCTGTTGAGAATAGCGCCTCTGCTGGCAAGCAGGGAGGAGGCTGGGAGAGTCAGACCAGATTATACCCATCCAGCAGCTGTAGGTGATAGATGGAGAAGCATACAGTCCCAATAAAACTTTATTTATAAACACTGAAGGTAAATCCCATAGTTTTCACGTCACAAAGCGTTGATGCTTTGTTTTTATTTCAACCATTTTAAAAATGTAGGTTGGGTATGGTGGCACATGTCTGTGATCCCAGCACTTGGGAGGCTGAAGCAGGAGGATTGCCATGAGTTTGAGGCCAGTCTGGGCTACATAGTAAGTTCAAGGTCTACCTGAACTACATGGCAAGACCCTGTCTCAAAAAAACTAAAAATTAATTAAATGAATTAAAATGTAAAAGCTATTCTTAGCTATAAAACCATTAAAACAATAAAATTAATAATAAAGGCTATCTGCCTTGGAGCCAGCAGAGTATGGACTGAAACCTCCACCAACTGTAAGCTAAATTAACCTTTCCTTCAAAAAAAAGAAAGAAAGAAAGAAAGAAAATAGATGACATACCAGATTTCACTCATTGTCAGTAAATACTTTGGCAATGCTGCTTTCCTAAGGCACCAAAATTGATTTTTGTGTCTTTTTCCTGTTATTTGTTGTTTGTTTTATGTTGTTGAGACAGTCTCACTATGTAGCTCAGGCTGGCCTTAAACTCACAGCAATCCTCCTGCCTTGGTCTACCAAATGCTAGGATAACAGGCATGCACCACCGTCCCCTGCTCCTGTTGTTAAAATATATAGTTCTGTTTATATAGTACACAACAGTGTGACAAACAGAGGAAGAGACAGTACTATGTGAATTTTTTTTCCTCTTTAGGACAGGGTCTACAGGGTCTCACTAAGTAGACTGGACTCAGTGATCCACGCGCCCGAGGTGGGGCCAGTATGGCCAGGGACTGAATCCCGATCCTGTGTCCACCCAGAGTACTGGGGCTATAGGCTTGCACCACCACCCTGCCTTACACTTTCTTTCTTCGCTCATGGTTTCTGTTTTGTTTTACGGTACAGGAGCTGGGACCCAGATTCTGAGCTCTACCCAGACCCCACTCATGAACTTGGCTATGACCTCTGGAATCCAGGCTGGGGCCATGTCCAAAACGTGTGTCCTCTTAGTGGCCATGACTTTGAAGTCAGATGGACTGGGTCCAAGTTACCAGCTCCGGGGCTCGGGTTTTATCATCTGTCAAACAGAGATTAATAACAGTACCAAGCTCCGGGCTTGGCACAGGCTTTAAAATGCTGAGATGAAATTAAATATACTTAGCCTAGATGCTACAAGTCCACCTATGTATGCGCTTTCTTAGAATGAATTAGAACAAAGCACAGAACATCCTAATCGCTGTCACTGCCTTTGAGCCCCTCTTGCGACAGGAATCTTCCCACATAAGGGAACCATTTTCTTACTTAGAGACACCAACATAAAAATTAGCTCTGCTTTTGGGTTTGCTTCTCCTACACGAGAAAAATCCTGTTTTAGGCAAACAGATCGTGTTGTCCTGACAACACGGATTGCCAAGAAAATAAGTAAACAAAGCTTCAGAATCTTATTTTTATAGAAAACTTGACTGGTACAAGGGAGGGACTGACATGTAAGTCTTTAAAATGATCTCACCCCCTAGGATGGCATCAAAATTGCCTGCCAGGGCTCAGCCCTTCCAAATGGGACTGTTCTGGGTCCCACTTTTGGCATTCACATGAATTGTCAACTTTAGTCCTGAGGACCCAGAATGGGAGAGCAGGATGATTCACATCATTGATAAAGTGATCCAGCGCAGTCCTTGCCTACGCAGAAACAGAAAAAAAGATTAAAAAAAAACCACGTGTGGTGGTGCACATCTGTAATCCCAACACTTGGGAGGCTGAGGCAGGAGCACTGCTGAGAGTTCAAGACCAGCCTGGACTGTATAGTGAGACCCTGTCTCACAAACAAAAAAACTAATATCAGGTGTTGGACAAACTGAAAGACATTCCCCAATATATTACAGTAATGCTATGGCTTGTGTCTGCCTTAGATGTCCCCCAATGCCTCTTGTGGTCATAGGGCCTTTTCAGTGGTGGCTGAATGTAGTGTGTGATGCTGGAATTCAGGGTGTGTGATTCGTAAATCAGCCCACCCACTGGCTTGGTGTGTTTGTGGCTAGGATTAAGCCTGAGTGCCGCACCACGCTCTAGGCTGAGAAGCCTGCATCCACTGAGGGACAGAGAGGCCTGACCTTCCTTCCCTCATTTTTTCTGCCTTCTGCCCCCATGAACCATTCGTCCTCTGGATGCCCCTCTGCTGTGCCACCCGGCCTTGTCTTGATAATGAGAGAACTCAGCCAAGTACTCCCACAGTGCTGGGAGCAGGCAGCTGTGGGACTAGGTAACATGCTCAGTGGGGCTGAGCTGGAAGCACAACTCTGCAGTCTTAGCTGTGTGACTCTGGGCAGCGACCTTACCTCCCTACGGCCAACTTTCTTCGTCCGATGAATGGGGCGAATGCCAATGGCTGCCTTTCAGGGTCGTTGTGGAAGTAAAATGTGTTCATGTATGAAAATTACAACAGTGCCTCTGGAAACACCATTCACCTGGGGCACCATTCACCTGACTCGGGTGGCAGGTCCTTTCTGTGTCCTTAGTGGGCAGATGACACCTTTGTTTTCTCCTCTGAGGTCCCCTATGAAGGTCTCTGTTAGAGGCAACATGCTCACTGGTTAAAAGCTTCAATCCTTCTCACCAAACCTTTCCCATGTAACGAGATGATCAATCCTTCCGCCCCTGCATTAAGCCCCCATAATTACACCGTCATCAGTCTTCTCTCACCAAATGCTCCACCAGAAGTCAGTTAGTTGTCACCCCAGTAAGTACTGAGTTCTGGGGTCACACTGATGGTGCCACCTTCCATCTGACCCCAGCTCCTCCTGAAGATGGCCTACCCGGCAAGCAGAGGGGACAGGCAGCAGTGCGCACATTCCCGCTGGCCATGGATTCAGGCCCTGCCTCCTGCTGAGACGACCCTCAGGACCACATGGGTGGTTCTATGGGTACCAAATCCAAGGACTTATTCTTGGTGCTGTTTTGATTTTGGTGTAGGGGATCGAACCCAGGTCTTTGTGCACCACTGAGGTACACCCCCAGCCCCTGAAATTCTTAGCAGAAGCCTCCCACTTTGGTTTTGCATGGGGCTCTGCTGAATCCCCTAGTCAGTCCTGATCAGGACTTTTGCTTTCTGGTTTGGATGTGGACACCCACATCAGCTAACAACCTGGTCCATCTTCTTGGACCTTCTTCCGTGAGGCAGGTGTCTTGGCCACTTAAATTGTGAGGTTCTGTTACACACTGAGCAGAAATGACATCCAGACCTCTGTTGCCAAATCCATACTCAGCATGTGAGGCCCTGCGCTCAATCCCCCAGTACCAAGCACAGGGATAAAAGACATCAGAGGACAAAATATATTTGAAATAATATTAAGAAACATAACAGCAGTTACTTCTTAGGAGGAAGAATTACTATTTTTTAATCTTTTATTATATAGCTCGGACTCATAGTGATATCCTTCTCTCAGCCTCCCCTGCACTAGGATTACAGGCACATGCCACCATGTCTGGTTCTGCAGGCCAGCATGGCATGCCCAGGGTTCCAGGGCAGGCATGGCATGCGTTACAGGGGATGGAACCCAGGTCCTTGCACTTGCCAGGCAGGCGCTTAGACCGCTGAGCTATCTCCCCAGCCCAGAATTACTTTTTACTACATAACCTTACTCTGTGTGTGTGTGTGTGTGTGTGTGTGTGCGCGCGCGCACTGGGCCACTACGGATTGAACCCCATGCCCCATACCTGGCAGGCAAGTCAGTCTTACTGTTGTGTAGGCCAGCCTCAAACTTACGATCCTCCTGCCTTAGCACCCCCCACCCAGTAGCTGGGCCTTTCTCCTGGGGCACCACATCCAGCTCCAGGGGCTCAGCTTTCAAACATCTACACACCCAGTTGTTCTTCCATCACTGCAGTCTCAGCACAGCAGCGTCTGGCTGTGAGTTACTTTGCTGCTTAGAGACGGGAAATGTGGAGCTGCAGAGGGGAAAGGTTGCTCATTAGAAAGCTTCAATCCATTAGAAAGCAGCAATGAGAGCTGCAAAATGTAGCTCTGTCCTCTTCTTTATGTAAGGACCGTTTGGGGACTGCTGCTCTTCTGGCCTGAAATACAGGTGTTTTCTGGAAAACTAGGGACATGAAAGTCGTGGACACTGCGAGCACCCACGCACCTCCAAGCCTCGGACCCTTCCAGATTTTCACCACCTTCCCATGATGAATACCTAGACTTACCTTTTCATCATCCCTCATTTACAGTTAAATACAGGAAAAGGCGCATGCGTGCAAGACAGCAAGTCGCCAACAATGGGTGATGGAAATATGTCTCCTGTTACCGGTCCAAAATCCACTAAAAGAGGCCAGGGAGATGGCTCAGTAGAATAAGCACTTGCCTGGCAAGCACAAGGGCCTGAGTTCAATTCCTGGTTCCACAAAAAAAAAAAAAAAAAAAAAAAAATCACTAAAAAACGTCCCTTTTCCTGGCTGAGCATGGTGGTGTATGTCTGTAAACCCAGCACTAGGGAGGCTAAGCCAGGAGGATCATGAGTTCGAGACCAACCTGGGCTACATAGTGAGACTCTCAATAGTTTCCTCCCCACCCCAAAATTGAAAAAGCCTTTGCCTTCATAATCTTTTTTTTTTTTTTTTTTTTTTTGCAGTACTATGGATTGAACTCAGGACCCTGCACTTGCCAGGCCAGCGCTTATTCTACTGAGCTATCTCCCCAGCCCTGCCTTCTTAATCTCTAGTCAGGAACAGATACATACTTAGAGAATGCCCACCCCCTCCAGGCCAGTGTTGAGCCTTTTGGAACTTTCAATGATCCAAACAGCCGGCTGCAGCACACTCACCTCACGTTTGCCTCACTGCTCTTGGCTGACTGGGTGGGCGGGTGGCATGTGCAGGAGGACATCCAAGCCTCGGAGACACCTGGCCTGGGCCACGAGAGAGCTAAGTGCATGTAGTAAGCGGATTTATAAAGCAGTACGGTGTGTACAGTGTCTAAAAAGACCCTGGCTGTTCTTCCTAGAGACAAAAAAATAATTGTAGACACTTGTAGAGTTTTTCATTGTTTAATTTTGTAAGGTTTTTTGTATTTATTTGTATTTAGTACAGGGTCTCACTATGCAGATCAGACTCACAGTGATCCTGTTTTCAGCCTCACAAGTGCTGGGATTACAGGTGCGTGCCACCACGCCCAGTCTTGTTTTTTGCTTTTTTGAGTCAGGGTCTTGCTGTATAGCCCAGGCTGGCCTCAAACTTAAAGCAATCCTCCTGGTTCAGCCTCCTGAGTGCTGGGATTACAGGTGTGTGCCACCACACCCAGCTTAGCAGCTATAAATTAACGCAAGATTGGTGTCCTTGGCTACCAAAAAGAAAGAAAAGGGAAAGCATAAAATCTGAACTTACTAGCAGCAAAGCAAGACACATTGATCAGCAGAGTTTATTCATGAAATGGGGCACACACCCACCTCAGCTGAAGGGAAGGCAGGAACAAGTCCAAATCGCACCTCCTCTGCACAGCAACCACAGGACAGCCTCCCTCGAGGTGGTTTACTGGGGCACCCATGTCCCCCTCTATTAGAGGTGGTTTATCAGGGGCACTCCGTGGGAAGGCAGCTCCTGATGTAGCTGCCGGAAGAGCATGGCGCATCGGTTCCTCTCCTGGGTCTTCCCCAGGGTGTGGTAGAGTCTGGCCTGGAAGTACACGACATCCCTGATGCGCTCTTTGCAGTCAACCTTTGCAAAATAGTTCTTGGCTTCATTGAGGTTCTCAACAGCGGCCTCCAGAGCTGTGGAGGGGGGAGGACACCACACGCGTGTTACCCAGCACCTCACACTCGGGTTCCCAAACCTGCTAATCTCATTTTCTAGCCATGAGCAGACACTTTCATATTCTCTGTTCTCTAGCAGCTGGAGCAACAAGCTCTATGGCAAGGTGTTCAGTCCTGATTACAAGCCCAGGATCTATCTCTACAGGGTTAACATAAGCATTCACTCGCCCACAAGCTCCTGGCAAGCAAGCGGTGAAAGCACTTTATATCCTCATGAGATTTACTGTGCATCTGTGAACATTTGAAACTCAAAGCTGTGCCGACCTGGCTGTCCTTCCTTCTGCTGGCTCCCGGACGTGAGGCGCTTTCCAGAACAGCGCTGCACACACACGCCTTCTTACCTTCCACTTTCTTCGGAGGCTCATAGGAAGCTGCCGAGGCCACCTGGCACTTGGCCACCAGGAACATGGCGCGGCCCTTGTCCAGGACGGCGCCATCGGCCAGGATGGGCTCAATGGCCATGTGCAGAAGGGTCAAGGCCTGTTCCGGGACTCCCAGGATGAGCTGCAAGAGAAACAGCACAGCAATGTACACGCTCCCTTGCAGCCAGCAGCAGTGACTGCCTTTCTGCCTGTCCTCTCCAGAGTCACCCCCACCAGGCAGCTACATGTCCTGTCATGGACTTCATTACCATGGGCACCACCCGCAAAAAGCAGAACATGGACCATCTGACTTCAGGTTGGTTGGCTGGTTTTGAGATAGCTTCTCACTATGTAGCCAGACTGGCCTCAAACTTGTAGTCCTCCTGCCTCAGCCTCCCTGCTGGGATTACAGGTACATGCCACCATGCCCGGCTGACAATCTGATTTTTATTTATTTTTCTTTTTATGTATTTAGTACAGGGTCTCACTACACAGACTGGACTTGGAGTGATCCTCCCAAGTGCTGGCATTACAGGTGCATGCCACCACGCAGTCTCAGTCCGGTCTCCGCGCGCCCATAGGGCAGGGCAGTTATGACACACCATGGTTTATTCATGCTATGAAAAAAAAAACGGTTTTTGTCCTTAAGCCCTAAATCCAATCCTGAGTACTATAAAACACATGCACATGTACACACGTGTGTGCATATAACACACACACACACACACGCAAATGGGATGTTAGGAAACATCTGTTTTTAACATAAAAAGAGCAATGGGGCCAGGGAGATACCTCAGTGGAAGGTCCTGAGCTCAATCCCCAGTACCGCACACAAAAAAGTAACAACAAAGAGCAACAATGAAGGAACTGAAAGATAAAGAACATACAGAAATAATTTGGGGCAAGAGAATTCCAAGTGGCCAGGCATGGCGGTGCACACCTGTAATCCCAGCACTCGGGAGGCTGAGGCAGGAGGATCAATGCAAGTTCAAAACCAGCCTGGGCCAGGAGGCAGGGGACCCCTGGGAATTGAGTGCTGAAGTCATCAGTTCTCTCACCCACCAGGTGAGACCCCACTGTGGGGAGGAGAGTGGCTTTCTGTGGAGCAGGCATTGGGCCAGGCTGTCCCTGTGGGGCCTTTACCAAGAAAGAAGGACAACGACCACAGAATACAATTGGACTTCCAAGGCCAGGTTGTAGCCCTGGCAAGCACATGCTGGGCACCACCAAGACAAACCACCTCTCCTGCAACCTGACTTCCTCTTGCTTATTCGCAGCCCTTTGCTGCTCCATTCCAGCCCTCAGCATGGCTCCAAGCTAACCACCTTCCCTTCCTGACCCCACAGGGCTGCTGGTGAGCACCCGGCCCCAGCTCAGAGCCCACAGACATCCTGGGAGGGCCACAGAGCCAACCTCGCCCACGCCTCTGCCCTCCCTGGTGCCAAACTCGGAGCGCACTCAGCGGCTCTGGAGCAGGAGCAAGGGCTGCACACGGCACACACAGCGCCTCACCTGGGCGAAGGCCAAATTGAGCACGGTCTCGGAGGCCAGGTACTGCAGGCGGTACTCCTTGGACAGCGCCAGCGCCTGCAGCAGCACGGGCAGGGCGATGGTCGGGGAGGACGAGTGCCAGTACAGCTCAGCCACGGACAGCAGCACGCTGGGCACAAGGAGGCACGTGTGAGGAAGGGCCGACGACAGCACCGTGGACGCACAGGTCCGCCTTACCTGATGACCATCTCTGTGTTCTTCAGCTTCTCGCAGTAGCTCAGCAGTTTCTGGAGCAGCTTGTGTGCCTCTGACATTTGGTTCTGAGCCTGCAGCACCACTGCTTTTCTGGAACCGAAGAAACAACGAACACAAGCAGCTATGCTGATGCCAAAGTGCGCAGCAAAAGCCTCTATTTCCTCAGCTAGACTGCAGCCTGGGAGAACTGCCTCATCTTTGAAAATGCTCTGTACAATGGGGCATGGTGGCACACACCTGTAATCCCAGCACTCACTCGGGAGGCTGAGGCAGGAGGGTCACTGCCAAGTTTCAGACCAGCCTGGGCTACAAAGTGAGCTCAAGGTCAGCCTGAACTGCATAGCGAGAGCCTGTCTTAAAAAGACAAAAAAGGAAAAACCCAAAACAAAACAAATAAAACGCCCCAACTGTGTCCAGGAGCACAGACGCCTGCATGCAAGGGAAGTCTAGAGTCACAGCTTGCAGGGTGTCGGTCCGTGTCCAGGGGATATTTATAGTCGTGTTTTGCTTGTCTGTACCTATTTCCCCTCGATAAATTTTTTCTCCTAAACTACTGCAAACAAATCAGTACACACACAAAGCAAATAAAAAGGCAGTAAAAGTAAAGCTACATAGAAACCAGCTCACTCCGCAGTCTCCGACCTGTCTTACCTGTACACGCCTTCTACGCTATTGAGAGCGGTGATTCCAGTAACAAGGGAGTCGGCCAAATGGTATTTGCCGTCATTCACTGCTCTATCAAACTGGATTTTTTGATCACACAGCATCCATAACTGACAAGGAAAAAAAGAATTAAGTACAAAATGACAAATGTTAATGTTGTTATTCAATGGGAATAGAAAAATATTTTAGCTTGCTCAGTAAATATACAGCCTTACCACAATTCACAAACACTCTTTTATTTTTTGTTGTTGGCTACACTATTATTGAAACTAACTGATTTTTGTTGGTTTGATTTTTGAGAGATCTCACTGTGCAAGCCCAGGCTGGCTTTGAATTCACTCTGTAGACCGCCCAGGCTGGCCTCCAAGTTGAAGTGATTCTCCTGCCTCCGCTTCCCGAGTGCTGGGCATACAGGCATGCGCCACTAGGCCTGTCTGTTTCACGGTTTTGAGATTAAAAAAACAAAACAAAACAAAACAAAACAAAACAAAAAACTACCTACTTTAAGCACGCGAAAAGGCTTGGAGAACAAGGTAAGAAGCATAAGTGCACTACCCAGCCACTGTCCCAGCTGACGTTCTGCTGTATTTCCTGCTGACGCTCTTAGATACTGCTGAGGCTCCTCGTAAGTCCCACCTGCCTACTGCCTCTTCACAGCAAGCGCTCAATTCAGTGTCTGTCATTCTCACTCGGGTCTTCTACACTTGTACAACATACATACTTATCTTTAAACAATAAAAAATATGAGCCTGTATGGTTTTAAGGTTTTTACAAATAAATAAAACACTGTATTATTCCTTTGACAACTTCCTCTCAGCTCAGTGTTAGTTTTCTGAAGACTCTACAATATTCTGCTTGGGCTGGGGAGATAGCTCAGGGGCCTAAGTGCCTGCCTGGCAAGCGCAAGGACCCAGCTTCGATCCCTGGTACCACATGCCATGCTGCTGTGCCACATAATGAAACCAGGGGTGGAGGTGCATGCCTGTAACCCTGTGCTAGGGAGGCTGAGACAAGAGGATCACTACAAGTCCGAGCTACATAGCAAGCCCCTGTAACAAATAAATAAATACATATTAAAAATAAACAAATAAAATATCCTACTTTTGGCCAGGGAAATAGCTCAGTGATATAAATGCATTCCTGGCAAGCACAAAGTCCTAAGTTTTATCCCCAGTACCAGAAAAGAAAAAAAAAAGAAATCCCACTTTATGATGGTAAAAAACATCTTTTCAAAATAAATTCATGACAGATGTGGTGGTGCATACCTATGATCCCAGGACTCAGGAGTCTGAGACAGAAGGATCACCACAGTTTGAGGCCAGCCTGAGCATACAGTGAATTCAAGGTCAGCCTGCACTACGTAGTAGAGTCTATCTCAAATAAACTAAACCCAACCAATCAACCAAACACCCTCCAGAAAGAAAGAAACCCATGTCATTCAAAAGGGGTTACCTGGGCATGCTGACTATTAGGTGGAAATCGTTCCTTCAGGTGCTTTAACACTTCAGAAGCGGCAGCAAAACAGCCCTAAAATGAAGGACAACTGATTTGTACAATTGTGTTGAAGTCACATTGCTCACCCCAGCATGACAGCACTGTGATCTGCCTGTTCTTTTTTTGTTTGCTTTTGGTTTTTGAGACAGAGTCTTGCTATACAGTCCAGGCTAGGCTTGAACTCTTGGCGATCTTCCTGCCTCAGCTTCCTCGGTGCTAGGATTACAGGCATGCACCACAACGTCTGGTGGTTTTTATTTTATTTTATTTTACAGTGTTGGGAATTTAAGCCAGGGCCTTGCACATACCAGGTAAGCGCTCTACCACTGAGCCATGTCCCGAGCATATTAGATGCGCCACGGGGACCAGAATGTGTGAGGGTTAAATTGTTGACCACAGTGCTCTGAAGACAAGAAAACACCGCAGCTGAGGAGGGCTCCCACCCCCCATTCCTGGGCAATCAACTGCCAACCTTCTCCCAGAAGCTGGACACGGTGGAGCACACCTGGAATCCCAGCACATAGGAAGCCGAGGCACAAGGACCACCGTGACACCGAAACCAGCCTGGGCTACAAAGGATGGGCTAGGGGCTGGAGAGATGGCTCAGTGGTCTAAAGCACCTACTTGGAACAAGCTTGGCAAAGCACAGGGACCGCGGTTCAATCCCCCAGCACCACATGCCAGCCAGCCGCGCCCCCCTGGTGGGCTGAGCTGGTCACGCACACACACGCACACGCACACACACACACTAAATGTAATAAATAAATAAATAAATAAATAAATATTTTTTTTTAAAAAAGGCTGGGCTACCTTCTGCCCCTCCTACCGACACACACCGAGCTCTACCCACTTCCATTTCAAGGCCATCTTTTCATTCTTTTTGTTCCATGGAACCAGCCAGCCTCTTATTCCTTTCACTGATGTCCAAAAAGATCCCCAAGTCCATCACGTTTTGTCTCTTTCCAGTGGGATTTCCCTCCTCGGCTACCTGCACCTCCAGACTCACGCCAAAGGCATAGTGTGCCTGCCTCGGGCTCTACAGAAAGCACTGTGGGCTACCACCCAGCGGGTCTGGAAAGGAAACGGCCCTGTGGCTGTGCTCAGCAGCATGTAGTTCTGCTGGGAGGCGGCAAGCATCTAGGAGCTAGGCCTCTTGGAAGGAAGCTAGGTCACTGGGTGCAGCCTTGAGGCAACACGGGGCCCAGGCCCCAGGCCCTGCCAGCCCGTGCTTCCTGGCTGCTAGGGTGCGTGGGGGACGCATGTGTCCAGCACACATCCCCCACAGCCCAGCACCCTGAACAGGAGCTAAACTAACCCTCTCTCCACCAAGCCAGCAGGATGCTGTGTACACCACCACCTACCTGCTCTGCATGCAGCTCTGCGAGGTGGCAGAGTGCGACAGCAAAGGACTCAGTATTGTTCTGCTGCACGCCCGCATTCACCGACTCCAGGCTGTTCATGCTCAGCAACATCTGGGCTTGCTGAAGGGCCATGGTGCTGGGTGAGGAGAGAAACAGGTTTATCTTCAGCCAGCAGGCCCGGGCTGCCCTGTGGCCTAGGCTGGTGGTAGAACTGCAGGGACGGCAGCCCCTCTCAGGCCCAGTGGAAGCTGGGACCTCCCAAGGGCAACTGTCCTGCCCTCAGGACAAGGACAGCAGAAAAGTAGCCTGTATGTGCTGCCCCTACTGCAAACCAGGAGCTTCCGGCTTGCGGCTCACCCACCTGCCTGGCCCTTCCCACCCCTACTATCTCCCAAGATGGCAGGATGTTAATTAAGGTTCACGGGTAAACTCAGACCCGACACCATCCTGGCACCAGCTGCTCTGGCAAGGCAAGCATTCGCCAGTGTCAGCAGCTGACTCAGCACAATGCCAAAAAAATCATCTGAAATACAAGAATAAGACTGGTAAAAGAGGCACTTCCTGTCAGTACTGAATTCCTCGAAACATCAGACTATCTAGAGAGAACTGAAGTAGGCACAGGGCTCCAAGATTACAATCAGACTCAGAAGTCTACTTTTGGCTAAAGGCAGCAGGAAAGGGACTTCCTCCACACAACAACCAAGGGAGGCAATGGACAAGGGCATGACAGGCCAGCCATGCAGTGCTCAAATGGAGCGGCCTAAAGAGTCCACGGACCCAGGTCTGAGTCACAGGTCAACTACAATGTGACTTGGGCGGATCAATGCAGGAGCCAGAAAGGTCACTGACCAGTTCATCAAAGAGAACCAGAGGAACCGATAACATGCACAGGAAACCCAGGTTAAGCCTGTGCCGCCTGCAAAGTGGTATCTGACTAGAAAGCCCTGCCCTGGTGCCCCGCGTGAGCCAAGTGCACCCGCCTGAGGACCCACCTGCGGCCATACAGCCTCCAGATGGCCGTTTTCTGGGCGATGCTGATGTCGATGAGCTCCGACAGGCTGTGTTTCCAGTGCAGGAGGTCAGAGTCCTTTAGGGCATCCATCAGTTTGTTAGCCGTCTTCCCAGCAAAAGCTCTCTGTTGAACAAGGGACTGTATTCCCAGGGAGGCGAGGTACTACGGGGACAGACATATCCATGACCCAAGATAGAGATTACATGACAGAACTTGCTTGTTCGTCAGAAATGTGAATTTCACATTTCAGTACATGCACAGCGACAGCACTACTTACAACAAAAGCACCTACAAACTGCCCCCGACCCATGTGAGACATCTTCCTGAAAACTAGGGCTGGGAAAGCAGCCGGGCTTTGGCATTAGCTAGGCCTAGACTTGACACTGCCTCTGCTGCTACTGTGTAATTTAGGACCCGTCACTGAGCTTCTCTCAGCTAAGCCTCAGCTTCCTTATCTGTAAAATGGGCATCAACTTTATCATGAAGAACTGCTATAAGAGTTACAGTGAAATAATAGGCCAAATGGTGCTGGGCACATTAGGTAGTAGGAGATCAAAAAAAGTCTTATCTTACTTATGAACAACAAACCATCACCTCAACTTCTGGCATAACCTTCAAGGAGAAAAACTTGACTGAAAAAAGGCAGTTCAAGTCCAGAGCAAAATCAAACTTAGTAAGTGCATCATCCATTTCAACAACCCACTTTGATTCTATTTGTACCAGTCAGTCTCCTTTCCTAGAAGGGAATCACATGAACGACTTACAGATTTAATGAGATGCACATTAAATTGATATAATTATTTGCAATTTTACCAAAGTTTGCTGCAAACTTTTCAGAGAGACAGGTTTAAGCAGTCCCTCTGCCTGCGGTCCAGTTTGCACATTTCTGAGAAAAAATAAGGTTCTTCAAGTAACAGGAATACACATCTTGGCAGGCACTAGCGCTTCCTGCGTGCACACCGCGCCCTTAGCGCCCAGGCACTAACCCCATGCTGAAGAAGGGCACGCCTCCCAGGTCTACTCTTCCTGACTTTGCTAACAGTTTACACCAAGGGGCAGCAACCTAGTCCTATAAGGGGTCTGAAAGCAAGTAAGGTAGGTTTCACCGGCCACAGCTGGTTTGTTTTGCACTCTTTTATCATTTTTATTTCCTGCCCACAACCACATACACATGTAACACCCACTCTTGGCTTAAAGGCAGACCGAAGCAGGCAGGCTGCCAGAGCTGGCCCATGGGTTAGAAAATCTGCCAATCCCTTGTTAAGAAACTAACTTTTGGGGCCTCAAGGCAGAGCTCCATGGCAGAGCACTTGCCTAAGGTCTCGGCGGGCCTGGTTTTCACCCTCACCATTGAAGAAATGACAATGAAAAGCTTTTTAAAACTTTTCTATAAGACTATATGCTAAGTAAATGCTTCTACATAAACCAAGATTTCTTAACAAATCAATAAACAGAGCTTCCACAGCTGTTATTAGGACATTATTAGAGAACAGTGAGAAGCCTACTGAGCAGAATGTAGTGGTCTGATTAATAAGTCACAGGCAGCTGGCAAGAATAAAACCACACGCTGAAATAACCGTTCTAAGCCCATCACTGCCTCCGACAACGCAGGTGGGAGAGAGACAAAGGCTCTAGCCACTTAGCTAAGGAAGTCAAGCAAGACGAGTCTTACCGGCAACCCAAAATGCACTGCTTTCTTCACTGAGTGCTCCAGCAGGACATAGCTGTCGGAGCGCTTCTGCCCCAGCACGTACAGCCAGCTCTGCCAAGAGATAACCAGCAGAGCGCGTCACAACAATAGCCATGGCCCAGGTTCTAGTGATAGCAATATGGTGGTCACAGAGAATCGAAACGGGAATTAATTCTTTATCTTAAAGTAAATCTTTAAGATAGCCTCCCACTGGCTGGTGAGATGGCTCAGTGGTCTAAAGCACCTACTTAGAACAAGCTCAGCAAAGCACAGGGACCGCGGTTCAATCCCCAGCACCACATGCCAGCCAGCCCCGCCCCCTGGTGGGCTGAGCTGCCCCCCCCCACATAAATAAATAAATAAATAAATTTTTAAAAAATAAACATTTATAAAAAAGGATAGCCTCCCACGATTCACAAGCCTAAGTGAGACCTGTCGACATCTTAAGAGCAGACTGGGGGGCCGGGGTGATGGCTTGGTGGAATAAGCGCTTCCCTGACAAGCACAAGTGCCTGAGTTCAATCCCCGGTTCCCCCCCCCCCCAAAAAAGAAAAAAGAATCAGTGTTACCATATAAAAAAAAAAAAGAGCAGACTGAAACACACAGGCTCCCTCTGTGTAGTGCGTGGCAGGTATCCTCCAAAAAGCATGAAGTCCCCATGGGGACTTAATTAAGTTCAGGGTAACTGGCAAGTGTTCTGTTTGTGCTTGGTGACCGTGTTTCTCTTTTCAGTATATTCCCCAGCATGACTGTGCTTTTATAGGACAATGTCTCATCTAGTTACTAGGTACTTTATTTTTCATGTATCTTTTTACTAACACCAACATTAAATGTGACACTCAATGTTAACTTCTCTAGAGCAAGTTGCATTAGAATCTGCGCATAGGAAATGTGCACAAAACAGGACAGAAGGTAAGAACTGAGAAAGGTAAGTAGTGGTGGCTGGCCTTTCGGAAGCCCCTGCAGCTAAGCAGCCTCCCTCCATTCTCAGCACAACCACTCAGCCCACAATGGCCCGACTGGGACAGGACTTATGCAGGCACCCTTGACCCAGAGCGCGACCCCAGCCCGCAGGTGGACTCACCAAACAGTGCTGCAGACACACGTGATCATTGGACTCCTGGGCGATCCTAATTGCCTCCTGCAGGGCGAGCTCTGCCTGTTGACTAAGGACAGAGTAATCGTTAAGGTCCCATTAGCAATCACAGCCGAAGCCAGCCTGGTGGTGGAAAGTCATCAAGACACACTCAGGGGGAAGTAGGTTTCTGCTCTGAGAGCTGCCACTGCTTTTGGCTGCTTCTCTCTGAGGCCGGTACCACTGCAGGGAGCAGTAACCCTGGGGACATAGGACAAGTCTCTCCTAAGACAGACACCTACTAAAAGAGAACTATGATTTTCTCTTGGCCAAAGAAGCTTCTTCCTGCTGTGCTGTGCATGGTTGAGCGGAGGTCGAGGTAGACTAATGTTTCACTTTGCACTGCATCACCTTCTGCATGATTTCAATTTTTTTCTTTTTTTTTTTTTCCATAACTTTATTGAGACAACTTTTTTCTATGTACATTTGTCACTTTGTTTTTTTTTCAAAATTAGTTTTAAAAACCATTTTGAGGATTCCCACTTTTGAGACTTTTTCACACGTCCATAGGCCCCCCAACCTCTCAGCCTCTGTGGAATCTAACCAGCTCTTCTCAGTTCTCACCCCAAAAACAGCCTTACAATGCTATCTGCACCCCACTTTGCAAGGGTTCATTACACATCACTTGTTCTCTGGTCCCTGAGCTTGTGGCTGCTGGATTTCATCAACTCCTTTCTATTTCTAAGACCCTCAATGACACAGGCCGTGTCTGAAACCCAGGGCTTCAGAACAGAAGGGTTACAAACACTAGGTCACCGAGGAACTCAAAACAGGACAGAAGGTCTCGAGTGTCCCTGACATAAGGAAAAAAATTCAGAGGAGGAATTTTCCAACATTAGCAGCAGCCCCACATAAGAAATTTCAAGTGGGTAGAGCTGAATTTTTTTCTCAATCAATTATTGTCCAAATAAAGAAATCAGACATATTTTTACAAATTTTGCATCTCTTAAATTCCCTTAAATACAGAGAGTAAAGTAATGTACTAGAGTGGTGGTGGTTGAAAGCTCCAGAACATTTGCCTCCCTGGTGTAGAACACAAGCTACTCAAGGGCAGGAAGCATACTGTCACACAGGCCCTCAATAATATCACTGAATGTCTGTTAACCAAGTACTGTTATGCTTAGAAAAAAGGCTGTCGGTCAGGCTTTGAGACACACACCCATGACTTCAGCTATTTGGGAGAGGCTGAGGCAGGAAGATTGTCAAAACCCACTCTGAGCAACATAGAGACCTTGTCCCAAAGGTTTTTAAAAGGCTAGGTCTGACATAATGGCGGCCACTGTAATCTAGGCACTCTGGGTGGCTCAGGCAACTGCAGGTCTGAGCCCAGCCTGAGCAACTTCATGGGATGAGACCCTGCCTCAAAATGAGGGAGGAGGGGGAGACAAGGGTGAACGTGGGGTGAAGGCCAAGCTTTAATCCCCAGTACAAGTGATAACAAGGATAACAGTAAATAAAATAAAATTTAAAAGGCTGGAGACACAGCTCAGAACCCCAAGGCCCACTACCTAATACCTGGAGAAAGGGCTTGTGGAGTGCCCTAGAGACAGGATGCTGCAACAGGACTGAGAAGAGACAGGATCTCGCCCAGGTAGGAAGAAAAGAATTACGACACAAACCCCAGGGGAGTCAGGCGAATCTTCAAGCCACTTTGTCCTGTTTTTCCACTGCTAAACAGAAAAACCTCTGCTAAGTTTTTAGTAAAAGAGCAAGAAGAAAAATGGTCGGCATATCTCTAAGGACTAGATGTTCATCAAACACCAGAGAAGCAGGGTCTGCAGCCTCTGAACGACCCTGGCTCTGTGAGTATCTGCCCAAGTTCCTGCCTGGCCTCTGTAGGCTGCACCTGAGCCCTCTCTGCCCTGGCTCCTCTCTTCCCCTCCAGACTCAACTGCACAGCCTGTCCCTCCAATTCAGCTCCTGTCCCAGGGCCTTGGCACCTGCTCTTTTTGCTGCTGTGAACACTTCATACACATGTGCAAAACACACAGCTCCCATGAGCCCTTCAGTCTCCACTCCAGGACCAGTCAGCAGAAGACAAGGGACACTCACCGTAACATTTAAACCCAGGGGAGGGTGTGCTGTGCAGGCAGAAGTCTCCTCCTCCCCCAGGGCCACCTTACATTACAGTGCTGCTCACCATTGTTTACTGTCTGTCTCCACACAGTAAATTCTAGAACAGCGCTTGGTACATCGCATACGCTCAACAAACAGCTGCCCAAATTTTCAATCAATGCCCACAATCCTTTTAGTCAAGTGACGAGGACTGACACAGGCCCACAGAACCTAACCAGGGACAAAGATGCCTGGCCCTGCTAACAAAGAATCAGGAGGAATCAGCACTTGCACGAATCCCACATCCTGCCTTCATATTCAGGCATCTACCCTGCAATGATGCTGCAAACAGAAAGAAATCCTGCCTGTCAAAGGAGCCCTGCACCTAGGAGGCTACACACAAGTGTCCGGGTGCAAGAGAAAGCAGTTTTCACCCCGAGATGGGCTGTTGGCAAATGAGACCAATGGGACTCAGGTGCCTATGAGCACAGAATGGAAGGGCCCTGGGGCTGCCTGGCAAAGCACCAGCCTTACACATTGAGGCCCTCTCCAGTGCCATGCTGAGAAGCAAAAGGAAAAGATAAAAGGGCCCAGACAAAGCCGAGGATGTAGCTCAGCAGCACAGCGCCTGCCTGGCAAGCTCAAAGTCCCAAGTTTGATTCCCAATACAAAACAAAACGAAAAAAAAAAAAAAAAAAAAAAAAAAAAAAAAAAAAAAAAAAAAAAGAGGAAAAGAGAAGTTGGTTCTTTCCAAAACGATTCCGAGTTGGAGCCCAGTCTGGGCAACTTAGAGAGATCCTATTATAAAATGGAAAGCAGGGGCTGGTGAGATGGCTCAGTGGTCTAAAGCACCTACTTAGAACAAGCTAAGCTAAGCAAAGCACAGGGACCGGGGTTCAATCCCCCAGCACCACATGCCAGCCAGCCCCGCCCCCTGGTGGGCTGAGCTGGCCACACACACACAAAATAAATAAATAAATAAATAAATAAATAAATATTTAAAAATAAATAAATAAAATGGAAAGCAAAAATAGAATGGAGATACAGCTTAGTTCAAAGGCTCTGGGTTCAATCACCAGAATGGGGGCTGGGGCGTACGGCTCAGTAGTAAATAAAATAAAATAAAATAGGGGTATGACAGAATCTTGCAGAATCATGAGTTTGGAGCAGCCTTAAGCTCCATGTAATGAGCAGAGACCATACCTATCGCTTGCGCTAAGCAGCACCGCAGCCTTCCCCAGCAGCCACAGCCTCCACCCAGCACAACAAGCACACATCACAGCTGCCTGGCTGAGCCACCACAGCTCCCCGCTAGACATTCTCACACCTTCCCGCCTCATGCAGGTAGCCTCATAGAGCATCCCAATACCCCCTGAGACTCTCCCTAAGCAAGCTCCTACCAGTCTACACCTCCGCTGAAACCTGAGAACCAAAAATCAACAGAAGTCACCGGACACCATCTGCCCTGTAGCAGACCCTGGCATCCTTCATCACAGCTGCCTGTAGGAAAGACTGCATCTCTACACTGGGACAGTCACTGGACTGCAGTCCAGTCAGCTGCCTGCCTACTTTCTACCGCTATCCATATTATTTCATTTTTCCCACACAGCCTCTATGCTTTGATAGGCTTTCACTCTAATCTCGGTCACTAAATAACTGTTCTCAGGTTTCCCGATTTTATTCATGTACACACACAGGTATGACTGAGCAACAAAACGAACCAGTGTCACTTTGCTGGTGGCCCAGAAGTGGCTTAAAAACAAACACGACTCCCAGCAAGTACATGCACTCTGCCATCCAGCACAGGCCAGCTTCCTTCTGGCTTGTCAAAACTCTAAAAATAGCTTCCACTGCCCCATTATTACCTACCAAAAACCCTTTGGGAACCTCTGGCCTAATGACCTAATTTCCTTTTCACTGAATGGCTGTTGTTCTTAGAAGGACTCTAGAGGCTGGGCAGTAAAGCAATACTGAATAGTGACACTAGGGGGCAGACAACTTAGGTTTTTCATTAATTTTGGCTGCAGTGCAAAAAGTTTACTCTGAGCGAAAAGCCAAGGTCTCTTCTTTTTTTGTTTCATGAGACAGGGTCTCAAAACACAGCCCAGGCTGGCCTCAGACTTGCAGCGACCCTTCGGCCTCACCCTCCCAGAACTGAGATTACCAGTGAGCACCACCAAGCCCGCTCTAATTGCTTTTAAAAAATACATCCTTTTGGGCTGGCCAAACAGCTCAGCAGATTAAAGCACCTGCTTAGGCAGATGCAGTGGCAAAGGTTCAATCCCTGGTGGCGCGCAGTGCTGGCCCCGCCCCCAGGGCATGCTGAGATGGTGACTGAGACTGGGCGTGGTGACTTGCATGTAATCCTAGCTCTTGGGAGGCTGAACACAGGCGGACTACAGTGAGACCCTGTAGACCCTCACTAAACTACAAAACAAAACAACATCCTTTCTATATAAAGCACATCTCAGCTGTCATCTGAGAGTGTCCCCGCAATGTCTGCAGGGACGAAGGTCTGACTTACTAGTGGCCAAAGCGGCAGTGCAGGGCGGCCAGGTTGAGGGCGGCGTATCGCAGGCTGCGGCCGTAGCCCTCTTCGCCGTTACTTTTGCTTTCAGCTCCAGTGAGAATCAGGCGGTCGAAATAATGCAGGAGACTGTGTGTTGAGCTGAAAACATCTTGGACGCGGAGGTTGTTTAAGTAGCTGAGGTAATGCTGAAATGGGAATAATTAACTTACTGGAAATGTTCCTGCTCTTTTTTCTTCCATAATTTTATTTAGAATTTTTTTCCCCAGAATTTTATTGAGGAATGTTCCTGCTTTTGTGAGACCATTGCACAGAACTTCACTGCCTCCCAACCTAAACAGCCCACTCTTGACGGGAACCGGACAGGCTTGGGGGCTGGGTGCGGGAGCGCCTGCCTGTGACTCCGCACTGGGAGGGAGGCTGAGGCTGCAGGTTCTCAGTGAGCTCAAAGCCAGTGTGCGTTAGAGAGACCTGTCTCAAACAGAAAAAAAATCAAAGGGCTGGGCATGGACATGGTTCAGTGGCAGAGCACGTGCCTAGCATATATAAGACTCTGGTTTTGATCCCTAGCTCTGCAAAAGCAAAAACTGACAGGGTGACATGGGTTGGTGGCTGAGGACACACGCACTAATGAGGAAGGGGCTCCACTTCCTGCTCGAGCCGTTCCTCACTCATGGGTGGTTTTCAAGGACCCATGCCAGTAGCCCTGCCCCTGGAGCCACGCCGTCCCCCTCAAGAGCCCAGGCTCCTCCTCTAGCTCAGCAACAACTCTGAGAGCAGACTCACCGCTTCTGCAAAGTCAGGATTAAATTTCAACAAGTTATTCAGTTCTTTCTGCAAGGAGGCTGGAGCGAGAGCTTTTGTTTCATCATTTTTTAACAAAGAAGCCTGAAATGTAAAAATAACAGGGAGAAGCATCAATAACTATAAGGAAACGCACATGAGCTACAGCAGCATCATGGCTGGAGATTTTCTCTCCTGCGGAGGGTCACTTCAGGGTCTGCCCTAGCTCAGGGTCCCTCACTGCCTACCTGTGGAAGGTACCATCCAGAGCCCTACTGCTGCCCGTGTCACTATGGTTGCCCCCCAGGACCTCACTCCTCTCCTCCCAGGGCGGCCACTGGGGCCCGAGTCTCCTTGAGTCTGTTTCCTGACTGGAACCAAGACCACGCTAAAGAGCCTTCCCAGCACAAGGGCACAATGGCACTGCCCAGTGCTGGGCTTGAATTCCAGAACAGTGAACCAAAACAAACCTCTGCACTGAATGAGTAGCCTAAGCCACATATTTGTTACAGTGCTACAAAACTAGCACATATATAGAAAACTAGTTCTAATATAAACTCATGTTTATGTTTAACTGAGTTATATATAATTCACTGCAATTTTATCTGGGCAAGTTTTTGCATAAGTAATAATATAATTTTTTTTAATTTATTTATTTTATTTATTTATATTGTGTGTGTGTGTGTGTGGCCAGCTCAGCCCACCAGGGGGCGGGCTGGCTGGCATGTGGTGCTGGGGGATTAAACCGCGGTCCCTGTGCTTTGCTAAGCTTGTTCTAAGTAGGTGCTTTAGACCACTGAGCCATCTCACCAGCCCCAATATAATTTTTTTTTAATTTTTAATAAATTTTATTAAAAGTATAGTTTGGGAAAACAATTTTAACCTTTATTGTTGTTACATTACATACATGATAAAATTAAATTACAAGGCATATAATTGAACAATAAAATTCTTTATACAAAGTATATTTAGATACCTAAATACAATTTGGTTTTGAAAATGAAATCATGTATATAGCTGTATTCCTAAGTGTGTTGAATCCAGTGCTATACGAGACTCCTGAAGGTGCAAATCCAGGTAACAACAAAGACACTTTTCTGAATTCCCATGTTTTACCGAGCATCAAAAACCACCAATCTTTTAGTTCTTTTCTTGTACATTATTCTGTATCCACATTCTCTACATCTGATTGGATCCCTGGATTTAATTTCATTTTCTGTGTGACATTCTCCACAGATATGTATCATTGGCTGCTGCTTTGGGGGTTGAACGTCCTGTTGAGTGTCCATTGTTAGTGCCTGATCTGGGCAACACCGAAGAGGTTCCCACCAATAATATAATTTTTAATTCTACTTTTAAGTCACCGTATCACTGAATATTCCAAAATATGGAAAAGCTACTAAAAAACAAAAAAATATTTACAATCCCTCCATCAAGAATACTGTTAATGCTTTGATGTTTATTCTCCTAGGCATCTTTTTTATGTATGTACGAGACTATATGTGTGTGGGCGAACACATACACACTGTAAACTAAATTAGAATATGACACATAACTTCACTTCCTGTCCTTTTCATGTACTAACGTACTGTCAGCTTTATCTCCCCATCAAATAGTCTTTGAAAATGATTTCTAAAGCAGAAGTATTCTTTTTACTGACATCTATTGCAAATTCTCCCCATTTTATTGGATGCCTTTTAAGTCTGTTACGTTTCACCTTTAGGCTGGAAACCTGAGTGATCTCCCACATGCTTTCTCTCACAGCTCTGTGGTTACAAAGTCCCCACCCAGCTCCCAGGTAAGGGTTACTATGCAGTTCCCTCTAATTAGCCCTCTAATCTGGCTGTCACACACTGAGGGTGTGGTGAGGACCCCACTGACCAGTGTGTTTTCCTCTCAGTAAATCAATCATGTAGGCAAGAAAATGCTGATCAGCATGAAATTCATCTACACAGGTGATTCAAAACTTTTATTACACCTACATATGACAACATCCTGCAGAAAGGAAGTGGTTTTTTTCACAATTTGATGTTCTTTACTT